CACAGCAAGTTCCAGGCTAGCCAGGGCTACACAGTGAAACTCTGTCTCAAAATAAAACGAAACAAGAATCTTGGGGTGGTGAGATGGCTCAGTGGGCAGAGGTGCCTACTGCCAAGCCTGGCAATCTGAGTTCAATCCCCGGGATCCACATGGTGGAAGGAAAGAACCGATTCCCACAAGTTGTCCTCTGAGCTCCATATGCACATGTGAATGCACACATACAGACCCATGCACACACATAAAATAAAAGTGTAAAAAAAAATTTTTAATAAAGAATCTCAGTTGGCAACTGGGGTGTGGTGGCACATGCCTGTAATCCCAGCACTTGGGAGGTGAGATGGGAGAATCAGGAGTTCAGAGTCATCCTTGGCAATTCAATGAGTTCAAGGCCAACCTGGGCTACATGAAACCGTGTCTCAAAAAAGCAAAAGCAAATAAAGAATCTTCATCGGTGAAGCAGGGTAGGGAGGCTAACAGCTGTAATCCTGACACTCAGGATGCTGAGACAGGGAGATCATGAGTTTGAGCCTAGCGTAGGCTAGATGGTGAGTTCAAGGCCAGCTTGTACATACTTAGACTCTATCTCAGAAAAAAAAATAAGAATCTCAGTTTGTCAACTGGCAATTAGACTTTTTTTTTTTTTTCCCGTGTGTGTGTGTGTGTGTGTGTGTGTGTGTGTGTGTGTGTTTCCATGTGAGCCTGTGGAGGTCAGGCTGGCATCAGGTGTCTTCCTCAATTTCATTTCACCTTCTGTATCTGGGTCTCTCACTTGAACCCAGCACTCAATGATTCAGCTAGTCTAGCCAGCTTGCTCCAGGGATCCCATCTCTGCCTCCTGAGCTAGGATTATGGGCAGGCCACCATGACCACTCAGTATGTGTGTCTCTGGTCTTCACAATTGCACAGTAAGCACTTTACCCACTGAGCAATCTCCCCAGCCCCAATAGAACTTCTAAACGCATACAATACAAGCTGAGGCCTGCGAGTTGCCTGTATGTTAGGGCCTCAGCTCTGCTCTGCCTGGAACCTAAAGCCAACACATTATATTTCGTCAGAACAAGCCAGCCTGTGAAAGATGAGAACTAAGGTCTCAAGCACCAGCCCCACAAGGCCGACCTCAACCTCTGGCTCCCAGCCAAGCCCTCAGCTGACCAGAGATCTTGGGTCACAGAGAGCTCAGCTGGTCCAGTCTGAAGAACCACGAAACCTACCCTTGGACTGAGAGAAATAAAAAGGCGTTTGAAGTCACCACATTCAGTCTGACATGGGACAGTCACTTCCTCCTGAATTCTCAGCGTCACAGTCTGTAAAATGCAGGATCTGAATCGAATCATCATTTTTAAAACGTCAGATATCAAAAAGGTTTTAAAACTAAGAAACTAAGAAAGAGATAAATACTGAAAAATATCCATGATAATTATCTGATACAATGTCTGGGATTTGCTTCAAGATAATCTAGAGTAAAGTAGGAGGAGGTGCAAACAGGGAGGGAACAGCTATTGTGTTTTCCGTTGTTTTGCTTTTATGACACAGCATCTTGCTATGTAGCTCTGGCTGGGCTGGAACTCACTATGTAGCCCAGGCTTTCCTTATTCCTGGCAATCCTCCTGCCTCAGCCTCCCAAGTGCTGAGATTGCAGGCATGTGCCACCATGCCCAGCTTTCATTGTGAGTTATTGTTGAAGCTGAGCAGTATGCACAGGCCTAGTAGACTGTTCTGTGCATGCTTGAAATTTTCATTTCAAAAAGATTTGTGTGTTTGTGAGTGCACGCGTGTGTACCCCGGTGGAGGTCCTCCCATTTGGTATACTACAAAGAAAAGAGCTCTTGAAAAACATAGTTGTGCGGCATTCAGCTTTCTCCAGCAGTACTGGATTTCAAGCCCCCAACCCCCACCACATGAGTTTCCGAGAAAACTATAGCATACACTTTAGAATACTGCCTAAGGTAATTCAGTGTTTGGAGGATTTCCCTCATTTCCCAGGTCAACAGTACAAGCCTTTGGTTTCACCTGTAAACAAACCTTGGATTTCTTGCATTCCCAGACTTATAAAAGGTCTCTTTTCTCTCCCAACAACCCACACTGCGGGAAATCAAACAGGTCCCTAGTCCATCTTATGCCAGCATGGCCCTGTCAGTGAACCCCAACTGTGCCCAAACCCTTTTCTAGACAGAGTTTGGGAGTTAGCTATTTCTATTTGTTCCAACTGTAGCATAAGAAATGTTTTAGTTTATGTGTGATGAGGTGCCTGTGGAGGCCAAGGTGGCTGTCAGCTGTCTTTTTCCATCACTCTCCACCTTATTTTTCAGGACAGAGTTTCACTGAACCTGGAACTTGCTGTTTTGACTAGGCTGGCTGGCCAGTGACCTTCCTGGACCTGCCCGTCTCCTCCCCTGAAACAACTGGGTTACAGAAGTGCACCACTGCATACAGTGGGGCCTGGGGATCTGACACAGGTCAGTGTACTTGTGCTGCAAGCACTTTACCCATGGAGCCATCTCTCAGCCCAAGCTTTATTTTTTCAGTTTTTTGTTTTTAGGGGAATTCCAATGTTCAAATTAGTTTCAATTTCCAAACATTTTATATCTCTTACAGAAAGTCTTTAAGGACTTGTCTTCAAAAATCATACATTTTCCCATATTTACATACAAAGTCCAAATTTGTATTTTGTTTTATTTTTATACTTTATTTTATTGCAAGAGCCACAGTTAAATTTCATGTGAAAAGTGAGGGCTGGAGAGATGGCTCAGCCATTGTGAGCACTGGTTGCTCTTGCAGAGGACCTGGATTCAATTCCCAGCACCCACATGGTGGTTAACAACCATCTGTAACTCCAGTTCCAGGGGATCCAACACCCTCCTCTGGCCTCCACAGGCATTTCCTGACATGGATACACTTACATACATGGAGGCAAAACACTCATACGCATAAAATTTAAAACTTAAAATTTTTTTCATGTGAAAGGTGAGGCCCTAGAAAGGACTTTTATTTGCCAGAGGCTTGAGTCAACTGGCCTAGGAGCTACACATTCCCAGTATACATTTATCACACTGGCCTGGCAATTCCAGTTGTGAGGGAAACCCATGTTCTGTTTGGGAGAGAAAAGTACCTGCAGAACTCTCAGTAAACGTCAGATGAGAAAAGACGCAGGGCTGGGAAGACAGCTCCATGGGCAAAGCGACTGCAATGCAAGCCTGTGGACTAGGGTACAGATCCCCAGAACCCATGGCAGCCGTTAGTCATTTCAGCATTCAGCCGTGGATCAGGAGCAAGCTGGCTAGCTTCATCAGCTGTGTCCAGCCTAGAGAACCCACTCAACGAGTGAGGTGCAGACCATTAAGGAAGACAACCTGGCATCAACACTGGGCCTGTGCACAGACTTGCACATATACACATGCAAATAAAAGCTTCAGCGTGTGGCTCACACTTGTAATCCCAACATTCAGGAGGCTGAAGCAGGAGTTCAAGACCAGCTTGGGCTACATAGCGAGACTGTCTCTCAAGAAAAGTTACTTGATAGCTAATTTAGCTCAAGTTATAAAAGGGTGAGTGATGACTATAAAGTGTACTTGGTATGATTTAATGAAAATGGTATTTGTGTGTGTTGAATGTGGTTTGTGTATGTACTTGTTAGCATGGGCGTGTACAGGTGTGCATGCCAGTTTGTGTATGTGTGTGCACACAGAGGTCAGAGGTCAGGTGTCCTTCCTCGCTCACTCCACCTTTGAGATAAGGTCTCTCACTAAACTTGATGCTCATTCATTAAGCCAGGCTAGCTGGCTAATGAGCTCCTGGGATCCACCTGTCTCCAGTCCTGGGGTTACAGATGCCCATTGCCATGCCCGGGATCCACACCTGCGTTCTCATGCTTTACTGACCAAGCCATCTCCCTAGGCAGAGAATGGTCATTTCTGTCTACTATGGCTTCTGGGTTGGCAATCTATTTTCGTAGTTTGTTAGGAATATACAACAACAAAGATACTTCTAGCCACAACACCTGAAATCCCAGCATTCAAGAGGCAGATGCAGTTTGAGGCCAGCCAAGGCTACACAGTGAGACCCTGTCTCAAAAAACCACCCCCAAACAAAACAAAACTTCTGAGCTTCTAAAAATCATAATGCTGTCTAATCATGAGGAAAAAAAAAATCAAATTCCAAGAGAATACAAAACCCCCGACCAGTATTCCTCAGAACCGTTACTTGTGGTGTTACCAAAACAAGAAAGGCTGAGGAACAAGTCAAGTCTGCAGCAACCAAGAGCTACTGAAGGAGACGTGACAAGTGAATGTAATGTGGGATCGTGCAACTCCAGAACAGCAGAAATGGGGGGGGGGCTGTAAAGAAGAGTATGAGTGTTAGTTAATAACCATGCCATCAGTATCCACTCCTTTTAAGACAGGGTTGAGTGGCTCTGAACTCTATGTAGTTAGGTTAGCCTCGAACTTCAGTCAGTCGTTTCAGCCCTCCAAGACCTGGGACTATAGTTGTGAGCTGCAAGTTCAGCTCATCTGTTCATTAGTATGACAAATGTACCAAACTAATGCCAGATGTGAACCGGGGAAACTGTTATGGTTTTGGGATGGAGTGCTAGGAATCCTATCTTAATTTTTCCCCCCGTGTTCTAAAATAAGGTTTACTGGAAGGGCTGAAGTGGTGATGTGCTGGTTAGTTTTGAAAATACTGGTTCAAATCCAACAGGCCTAAGAGCAGTCCTGTGCCAGTTGGATGAGCCTAGCCCAGAGGCCTTCCCAGGGGTCCAGCAGAGAAGAGAGCTTCCCCTGTCCTCTTTCGGTTTCAAAACATGATACTGGCCTGAGAACTCCTGTGGAAGGCTACATCTCTATCTTTTGTTAAGAAAGTTTAGATGATGCAAAGTTGGAGAGCTGCTGAAATTATTTCTGTGTGTGTATGTGTGTGTGTCCCCGTGTGTAACTTCTGCTTTCAAACTTTAAACACATGATCTGTTTCACTCTACATTAAAATAACATCATAGTGTCAAATCATTTAGAAATGTTTATTAAATGTCAGTAATTTTTACAAAGCAAATATTAATAGCAAAAGACAAATTTTGCAAAATATGTACAAAAGTAAAAAGCCTTAATAGCAACTTATTTTATAAAATCAAACCATTCATTCCACTTTTAGACCTCCTGTAGAAATAATTTACTGCTACTCTCGAACTAAAGCACTGACAAAAATAAAAAAAAAAATTTACAACAATATCAGATAATGTGCTTAGTTCCTGGAAGGTTATAAAAAGATGTTAAAAAAAAATCCTAAGCCACAAATACTTTTATACAGAGTAATACAAATCGTGTTTTGTTGGGTACACCATCTGTGAGGTTGTTGCATACATCTGATAAGGCCTACTGTGCCAAGTGAGCTCTCACTCAGGAGAGTAAAGTCATCTAGAACATTTTGCGAATCTGCTTTCAAGTACTTAAAAACACATTAACTCCTTCCTCCCTTCATCAAACAGGCATCACTTTGGCAATGTATTTGTAAATACTAATCAGAATTACATACCAAGTAAGCAGTTATCTCCATCAAGGCCAGTCACTGAAAATTTATGCTTTATGGGTCCCAGCAGGCTTCAATCCATTTGTAAATTCCCAACACTATTAACAAAGCATGGCCTACAAAAATCACTTTACCACCACAAAATAATGTCATGTCATAACTTTATGCTTTCAAAACACCAACAAAAAAACCCAATCTTCTAGTGGGTGTGGTAGCATACACTTGTAATCTCTGCACTCAGAAGGGCTGAGCAGGGGATCTCAGATTCAAAACCAGCCTGGGGCACAAAGGGAAACCGTCTCAGAAACACACAAATAAAAAGCAATGTTCAGTACAAGCTCTGAAACTTGAAACAAGATGGCTCGACCTGAGTGTCACAAGGGGTGAGCATGGAGATGTAAATGCTGATCTGTATTCCTGCATGTGGAAGAATACTAGTGTACAAATGCTGCTCTGATGACTCTAACCCCCTGCCAGGCAAGGCCTGGCATCTACTTGTTGGCAAATGAAAAGCCAATAGTTGGCTTTAAATTTTCAGTCTCCAGCGTAAACTAAGTCCTACCTTCGTACCATGAGAAAACAGGCACCATGTGCTTTACTTGGAACACGGAGCTATGTGCACAGTCCTGCCACCTCTGCCCTCATGTTTTCTAGACTGAAAAGCCAATCTGTATCCTAGTTCTTAAAAAAAGAAAGGAAGAAAGAAAGAAAAAAGGAAGAGAGAGAGGAAAGAGAACACAGCTTTTATTCAAGCAGCACAAAACAAAGGACATGTCACCCATTTCTCCTGGAATTTAACAAGCTGAAATTTCAGTAAGAAATGATACAACCAGTCCTAAGTCAGATTCCTAAATGAAGAGGACACGCAAAACTTTATTCTTCAAAGAAAACTAAAAGAAATAAAAAGGTAGCAGAGTGACTTTCTCTAGATTTATTTGGGAATTTGTTACAAATGTTGGACTAGGGTTTACAGGCATGATGCATGGATTCAAACAGGAAGCTCATGTTAACAACGACACTTAGCTTCTCACACAGATAACTAGCTACAAACTGCAACTGAGACTCTTCTTTCAAATGGCTTGTTTGGGGTTTTGCCTAAATGTATCATTAAATAATGAAAGCACCAATTTGAGGGTTTTTCAAATAGTGATTTGCATTTCAAGATATAACAGCATAACTTGGTAATTTTATTCTTCATATAAATAAGGCATAACCGGTATGTATACTAATGTTGAGGAACACATTTCATCAAATAGAAGATACAACTTTTTGGAAACACAATGAAAGTTAAGACTGAATTACAGGGCACATGATTTTTGTTAAACCAACAGGTCTCATCACTTCTGGTACTAACATGGTCTTGCTTCCTTCTTTAAACCAACCACTGTCATCAAATGAACAAGGATTTCCCTAAACAGTCCTGACTGGATAGATTCACCAGCAGACCCTCCCAGTGTGGTATCTACCAATGCCTCAAAAGGAGAGCAACCCCAGACTCCTCCCGCCAGGCCGCCTTGTCTGCAGCTTCTCCCTGGCTACCCAGCACTCTCCCTAGATAATAAAACTGAAATGGAGACATCAACGTAATACAGTATTTGTCAGAAAGCAATGATTCAGACTATTAAAAATATTTAAGGGGCGTGCCTTGTATTAGATCTTAAGAAAACATATGACAAAGCCCTTTTCCCATTAAAAAAAAATTAAGGTCTAAATTTATGGTGTTCTTTCATTTATAAGGCAACTGTAAAATATTAAAAACTTCAAAGTCAACCAAGACACTTGTGTGATTATTTCTTTAGCTGTGTGAGAAGGCATTCAGATCAGAAACAGAAGACATTGCATTCCAAATGATAACCCAAGATTTGGAAACTCTAACACATCATAGAGCTTCAGCTTCAAGGGATGGGGGAAGTCAGCACAGTGAGTGAGTTAGGAGCACCTTTCAAGTCAACTGACTAAATTTCATTTCCCTCTTCACACTGATATTTCCATTCAAAAGAGGGGCTGGCTTTCATGATGCTGGTGCACGACTCCTTTCAAATGGTTTTAAGAATGCAGCATGACAGTTTCTTGACTGTCTAAGACAATCCTGTGTAAAGTATTTACCGCTTGAAAACATTCTAGATTTTATTTTAAAAAGAATGTTGGTTTTGATATATTATGTGCTTCAGAAGGAAGTTGCAAATGCCCCAAATGATACTGTACCTAGTTGGATTTTTATCATTTCTTGGTAATGGCCGAAACAGAGAAACCCAGCAATTTCTGCTCTGTCAGGCAGTACGTATGGTTCCTATCCAGAGCTTTAGTATAACCTTCTAAGCCCATCTACTTTCTAGAGGTAACTGACTTGCTGTCACAGGAGTTAGTCTTGGCCAACCCTAAAACTAAGTTTCTGTGAAACAAACCAAATGCCACTGTGCACATGTTCAGATGTTCATCAGTACTAGAGTTATGCCAACCCTATGAATTACTGCATTTATTTTTGGCAAAAAGCACTAGATGGAGAATTATTACATGAAGTATACTAACAATGCCTGCACTGTGTTGTTGGACTACATGTCTTAAGCACATGTATCACCAAGGCAAGAAAAGAATGGAATTTACAAACACAGTGACAATAAGATTTCAAATCCAAGACAAGTCAGGTACACCAGGAACAAGCCCCTGGTGCGTACATTGCAAGGCCCAGCTCTCACACCCAATGGCAAGGACCAAAAGCAACTAACTGGGAAAGGCTGTCTGATCAACAAAGTTGATCAATCTTTCAAGGACCAATTTATTACCTGAGAACAGTTAGCTCTACAGTAAAGTGACAGGTATCAGTCTCATTGCAATTTCCAGGAAAGGCAGCGATGCTGTCAGGCTTTGCAAACTTTCACAAGCCAATTTGAACATTGCCAATACCCCACAAAGCAGCATTTTAGTATTTCAAACCAGTTACTTTGCTGGTTCACAATGACAAATTACCAATGACTCAATTACAAAGCTACTTCATGGGGCCTGGTTTAATTTAGAAAGTACTGTGTGCCAGGCATGGTGGTACATGGCTTTAATCCCAGCACTCAAGAGGCAGAAGCAGAGGCAGGTGGATCTCTGAGATCCAGGCCAGCCTGGTCTACACAGAATTCCAGGCCAGCTGGGGCTGTAGGGAGACCCTGTCTCAAAAAGTCAAAAAGCAAAAAGACCAAAGGGGCGGGGGGAGCAAAAGGCAAGGTTAAGTGGTACAGGAGAGGTGGGGCAAAGGCAATCTTCCAAATCTGAACCAAGAGATTACTTATCCTTAGTCATATTAACACATCTAAAGCTGCCTCAATAAAGCTGGCATCTCATAAGCAGTGACTGAACAAACACATGTATACTGCACCTACGGAGACACTAAGAATGAGCAGGGTACTCAAAGAACACCTTCTTGAATAGTTTCACAGGAAAATATTGACTTTGGCAAGCTTTGGATAACAAAAGAACCCCTTAAATGCCACAGTTCAGCTGTGCTGAGACTGGGACAGAGAGCAAAAGAAAGAATATTCAACAGTGATTTCTTCCAATAAGGCACGAAACCAACTGAGACAGAACCAAAAATTCCAACACAGCATTCTGGAACAAGTATATTTCTCTCTGTTACCAAGGTACCTGCCCTTTCTAGTGGGTGTGGCCAGAGTGTTTCAATATGGCACATTAAGTTACTGATACTTAAACAGAAAAAGGGCAAATTGTATTTCACTGGTTACTTTTGAACAACACTATATGAAACGTCTGCTTGTCCTTTGCTCCCTGGTACCATTTGTGAATGCAATAGCATCAGACTGAAATCCTTACTGTAAACTTCAACACTAAGAACATCACCTTCAGAAACTAAAGAAACTGAAAACAAAACCACTGCTGTGTGTAAGCAATTACAAACAGAAAGGCTAACCCCCTCTGTAATCTAAACGCTGTCCTTAGATTAGACCTTCTGTAACAGCCCCTTCAGAACAGGGATCCCTTAAGCCAAGCCGGCCATGCTCTGTAAGGCCCTCTCAGCCCTGCCTCAGAGCTGGATGCTCCTAACCACATCCCTACAGGTACTCAAGGATTCTACCGATACTTGGCACTGCAGGAGGACACGGTGAAAGTAGAACTCAAAGCCTGAAATACACCTAGTGGGAGGCTGGCCAGGAAGTCACAACTAGACTTGACCGGAAGCTGAGGTGAAGCCGGTCAAAGTCTGAATTCCAAAGATATTGGCAATGTACTAGTCAGCAGCTTCCGGCCACAAACCAAAGGCTGCAGAAGGGCTAGAACTTCAAGGACCTGAACACAGAACCGAGATTTTTCTAATTGCTGTTGTAAACTGCTATTTTCAAAAACAAGACAAACGGAAAAGAAAAACACAAGAAGGTACTGAATGCAAGTCTTCTGTACATCACTGGAGCATGAGCTGTTTGAGGTTGTCGTGAAGAATAGTATCTTTCACATCACGGAAAACCAGGCGGATGTTCTCCGTGTTGATTGCAGTGGTGAAGTGGTGGTATAAGGGCTTCTGCTGCTGGTCCCGGCGTTTGTTCCGGAAACATTCCACCAGAAATTTTTGGACGTCTCTTAAGCAGTGTGGATCCCCTTCAAATTCTAGGAAATAGTCTTTGATGCTCACAATTTGCACTTTCTCCTCAAGCAAGTCTGTCTTGTTTAAGAAGAGGATTATAGAGACATTGCTGAAAACCCGGTTATTGACAATTGTTTCAAAAATGTTCAGAGACTCTGTAAGGCGATTGGTCAGTCGATCCTCCATGAGCACCTGGTCAAACTCACTTGAGGAAACAAGGAAAAGTATTGACGTCACACTGTCAAAGCACTCAAACCATCGTTTCCGCTCTGACCTCTGACCACCTACATCAACCATTTTGAAAGGAACATTTTTAATTTCAAAGTCATACTCGTGGATGCCTTTGGTGGGTCTTCTGGCAAGCAGAATATCTTGCTGTGAGGGAATGTAATCCTGAAAGAGAAAAAGGGATCATACTGAGGAATCCAGAGACAGTAACTGGGATTTCTGAAGGACTATTAACTGGCCCAATAAATGGATGTGCAAATTATATGATTTTTTTTTTAAAAAAGACAATCTCATTAGCAGCCCAAGCTGGTCTCAAAACTCCAGATCTCCTGCCTCAGCCTCCCAAGTGCTCGGATTCCAGGTATCTGGCTTCACACCTGGTATAATACTCCCACTTGAACAGCATGCTCAGCTACCAGCCATCATACCTGCCTGTACAGCCCTCTAGTACCTACTTCTAGGTCTGCTGCCCACATGGCTCATACTGTTCCTCACTCTATTAAAAACAAGAGGATCAGGGACTGGAGAGATAGCTCAGTGGTTAAGAGCACTGGCTGCTCTTGCAGAGGACCTGGGTTCGAGTCCCAGCAGCCACATGATGGCTAACAACTGTCTATAACTTCAGTTCCAGGGGATCTGATGCCCTCTTCTGACCTTTGCATAACACAGGTGTACATACATAAAACATGTAGGCAAAACACTCATACACGTTAAGTAATAAAAATTTAAAAAATAAAATCTTAAAAACAAACCCAGGAGGATCAGAAGTGATGCAACAACAAGAGATCCACCTTCCATGTCTGGTGCTATTCAACTCTCCCATTCATCCTAAATGCTCCGTTATTGTCCACACACCCCTCCTTGATGACCTCGAACTAGCCCCAAGCTATCACTACTGCTCTATCCATTCCATGTGGAAAGCACTCTCTCTAGTACTAATTACTAATTACTCACATAGAACTTGGGCCCTGAACTAGGTTTGCTTCAAGGATACAGTTCAAGTAGCCATGTTCAAACTCTAACATTTATTGACTTAAGAACTTATTCTGAGCCAGGTGTGGTGGTGCACTAGGGATCCCAGCACTCAGAAGGCAGAGACAGGCAGATCTCTGTGAGATCAAGGCCAGCTTGGTCTACATAGCTAGTTCCAGGACAGCTGGGGCTATAAGGAGACCTTGTTTCAAACAAACAAACAAACAAACAAACAAACACACACCCACCTCACTCTGAGCATCAACATCTCTGCTTGTGAACAGTAAGTAATCACACCTGGCCTATCTGCATTGGACCAGTGTCACTGCAAAGATCAAGTTAGCTCTTCCTGAACTTTACTGTGCTTAAAACAGAGACTCACTACAGAGCTCTACAGACCAGGCTGGCACTGAGCTTGTGATGATCCCCCTGCCTCTGCCTCCCAAGTGCTTGTATTATAGGTATAATCGCTACATCTAGTTTTTCTGTTTTATTTTTTTCTGGGCGAAGTTTTGCTGTGTTGTCCTGGTGGCCTCCAGCTTGTGATTCTCCTGCCTTAGCCTCTGAAGTGCTAGGATTCCAGGCATGTGCCATAGACTATGTCTGGCTTTCCTGACCTGGTGAGCGGTGAAGCTCTAAGATCTTGAGCAAAATGCAGCTGCAGCTACATCCAAAGGCACGCTTCCTTAACATGGCAACTGGCTCTTCTTTCCCAGTCTAGTACTTTTCCACGATACTGACATAGCTTTGCAGCAACATGTGAATGGGAAGATTAATCCTCATCATCATGGTCACCATGTTTAGAAGTCAAGGCAGGATGGAAGGCTGTCATTCACATGCTGCCTGCGGGGTCCCCCTAACCAAGTGGTGTAAGGTGATTTCTGAAATCTCAGCACAGCACAAGTAGCCATCTCCTCAAAGTGGTGCCTGGAGTTCATTTGCCCTGCCTTTGTCTCCTAACTGCTAGCATTGCAAGTACGTACCATCTGTCCAGACTTACTCCAACAGTGAGAATTTTAAAAATCAGGCATATTTTAGTTACTGCTAATCCACATTCATTCATTAAACAAGCTCAGAGCTTCAATAAAAGCGTTAGCTTTTCCAAGTTTTCTTCTAGCCTTTGTTGACCCACACATCTTTTTTGCTGACTGTCAGCATACACGTAGAATTTTTAGCCTACCTCCAGACTTTTGTATGACATTTGCACTGTGGGCTGTTCCATGTGCTGACACTGCCCTAAGTTGCATTAACATTCCCTGCTGGTGGTCATCTGAGCTGTTTCCAAATTTTTACTACAATTAGCAGAAATACTATAAAATAAAACTCCCCCCCCGACACCATTTTCTTCTTCATTTGAACTATTTCCTGCAATGAAAGTAATCAGTGATGAGATTATGAAGTCAAACTTTTAGATGACTCTGACACTAGCCCACTTCAGAAGGCAGTGCCAGTTAAACAGAGTATGTCTGTGCCGCTTGCTTCAGAAACGCCCACCCAGAGCTTTGGGGGAAGTTTTCTACTGCAATCATTAGGACTAACACTCAATACTTAGGAAGCTGGAATCCACATGAAGCACAGATTTCATGACAATGGGATCAGGTGCTGAGCACATTGATTAAGAGTATAAATCTGAAGCCTGCTGGCCAGACTACCTGTGAGACCTTGTACAAGTCAATTAATCTCTCTGCACCTCAGTTCTCTTACATGCATAGAAGGGATGGAATTTGGAAGGTGGCTCTAAGGATTTAAGGCAGCTAAGTGCTGAAGAATCAAGTCTGGCATAGTCTGTGTTTGCTGTTCTTACTCCCACGATGGTCTCGTTGCCACCACTGCTGTTGCTCAAGAGGGAACTCAAGGAAGCCGGAATGCCCAGGCAGTCTTGTAGTTCAGTGTTTTTAGATGGTCACCAGTCATTTACACTTGAAACTCTATTCATGAGCAGGCACACACACTCAGTAACAAGCTCTGTTTGCTTCCTAACCAAGTCCTCTGACTCCAGCTGGTATACTTTCCTTCCACTTCTTGCTCCATCAAGAACCCTCACTTCTCTAAGTCTCCCCATCTGTCACATGACTCTGTACTGTATCTGTTCTGGATGAAGCCCTGCCATCTCTCTGAATCTTTGTTACATCCTCCCTTTCCTCTCCTCATTTTTTATCCTCTCAAGCATGCACTGTCATCTCTTTACAAATTTCTTGGCCTTAATGGCTCACATCCCTTGGACCCATCTTCTGGTCACTCTAAGACTCTCCAACAAATCTGCTTACACCATGACTCCAGAACTGATTGATGGGGCTCCTCACAGCATGAGACCCAGACTCTGACCGCTTTTGGGCCCTTCTTAATCCTGTTTCCTGTAGTTATCAGGCTGTTCTACATTGTTCAAGCTCCCCACCATGCCTCAAATCTGGAGTCCTACGCAAAGATTCACCCCCAAATCACTGCTTATCTGTCTGCACTGCACCACAGCACAGGTAAAGGCAATGGATACAAACTGAAGCCTCCACCTGCTGGAAATGATTTTTAGAGACTAGAGCAAAAACATCATGTATCCTTCATCAGAGAGATGCATCTCCTAAAACCGGACACACTCAGCGGTCTCCTGTGGAGATGGGCCACTTAACTCAGTATCCAAATCTAGCCCACCCTTTGGGCCAGTTCAAGTTCATGTACTCTTGTGTGCTAGTTCCACCTTTTCCTTAGTTTGTGAACTAATTATCTTCATGATCAGTATCACTGAATCATGTTCTACTTCGCTTAATTAGTTCTGTTGTCTGACTGAGTGACTTAAACATAGGGATCAACAGACAGAAAGCAATTCTAGGGCACTTACTGCATTGCTATACCGGCCAGGCTACTTCTCGGAAGGTCTCATAAGTTTAGGAGCTCTTACTATGCTCATGTTATGCATGAAAAACCCTATCTTTTAGAAATGCTTACAGTCACACACATGTAGTGTGTGATGAGCTGGGACGGGAACACAGCACTCTGGTTGCAAAGACCTGTCCTTGGCCATGGCGCTATTTTAGTTCCCAGATGCCTCAGGGCTCAACACACAGCAGTTTTGATAGCTTCAGTAAGAGACCAGCAAATATGATTCTGTGACTTGTCCAAAGTGCGCAAAATGGGCAATAAAAATGCAGCACACCCAGGTTTACTCTCCTTCTCAATTATATGCTGGTTATATAACTCTTTTCCTTTCCACTCTAGGTAGGGCTTGAAATATTAGTCTTGGCAAAAGTGTAAGCAACTACGTACGATAAATTGGATGGTGTTAGCCTAGACTATTCATTCACAAACTATTTGCTGAGTGTCTATTTCATGCTAGGCACTGCCACTAGACATCAGGGACTTAACTCTTCACAATCAACATGGGAAGTCCTGGTCCTTATGGAAAGAATGAGTAAAAGATAAACATAATTAACTACAATACATGCAATGAAGAAGCAAGGGCTGGTACCAACAGTTATGAGGAAAATGCCAGGCGTGGTATCCATGCCTGCAATCCCAGCTCCAGGGAGGTAGAGGGGGGAGGATCAGGAGTTCAAGGTCACCTTCAGCTACATAGCAAGTTCAAGCCTAGTCTGAGCAACAAGAGACCTTGCCTCAAAAAACAAAAACAGTAACAATAAAAAGGAGACGATCTACATGAAGGGTGTGCTTGGAGAAGATCTATCTGAAAAAATAAATGGAGAAAAGCAGGTCAAATCAGCCCTGTTCAGATAAGAAAGAACTCTTTAAAACATTATCAGGGAGATGGCTGAGGGCTCAGCCAGTTAAGTGCTAGCACATAAGCTGAGGACCCGAGTTCAGATCCCCAGCTTCCATGATTAGAAACCTGGTACAACAGAGTATCACCTGTCATCCCAGAGCAGAAGAGGTGGAGACCCCTGGGGCTTGCTGATCAGTCTAGCACTCCAGGTTCAGGAGAGACCCGTCTCTCAAAAAAACAGGTGCAAAGCAACTGAGGAGACACACAATGTCAACCTCCAAACTGCTCCCCTCTACTCTGAGAGAGATATTGAGGGAGGGGGTTAGAGGGGAAGAGGGATTGAGATTGATTATTCATATAAAGCTTTTCTCCAACTACATTAGTATTATGTGTGAAAAAGTAAGTTATGAAGAACTCAAATTCTGGGAGATACTTATATTTAGGAAAAAAGTAGCTAAAAACATAATCATTTAAAAGTAAACAAATACAATTCAAAGTTTGTAATTATTTTGCTTTTTTGACAGAGGGTCTTGGTGCATAGCCTAGGCTGTCCTTAACTTGTGATCCTCTTGCCTCAGCTGAGTGCTAGAATTCCAGATGTGTATGACTACATCCAGCTAACAAATTAAATTTAGAAAAATAAAAGGAAAACGTGAAAATGAACATGTGTGATGGCTAATCCTGGGTGTCAACTTGACTGATCTGGGATTAACTGAAATGAAAGAAATCTCCTTGACTGGATCATCTGAAGTTGGAAGACACACCCTAAATGTGGGTGTTACCTTCTGATGGCAGCCCGTATAAAAGGCCTGGCTTCTTGCTGCTTGCCTTCTCTCTTGCTAGTGAGTTCATCCTGCTGCTATAGACTGAAGACTAGCTGATCTTTTGGAATTCGTCAGATCTTCAGGGCCAGATTGGGACTACTGAGAAATCCAGCCTCATGGACTGAGCAATTACGGATTCTCAGCCTCTCCAGTGTGGTGCAGCCATTGTTGGACTACTCGGACTCTATCCTGTGAGCTAAGCTGATAAATCTCTATACATATGTATTCATTCTACCGGTTCTTTTTCTTTGGAGAACCCTAATACAACATGCTAGGGGAAAAAAGAAGGTATGGTCCCATATGTCCTACGTGTGTCAGTATGCAACTTTCCTACTCAGAACAAGGTTAATTTTGTGTTAAAGTAAAAAATCTCAAAGAACCCTTAAGACATTGTTAACATCTATTACTGAAGTCTACTTTAAGAGGAAGCAAATGGAACAACACGAAACTTAGTGACTAACAAATACCTCTAGGGCAAGTTTCCAAACATTTACTAAGCAGTAAAAATCTTAATTCCAACAAACTCCTGGGCCCTTGTCCAATACAGAGGACAGTGGCGCTCTCTGCCTGTCACAGGTACAGGGAAGTCAGAGCAGGCCCTAGCCAGCTGAGTCGCCAGCTCTGGGAATACTCCAAAAATAACAGGATGACTTTTTCTCCTACCTTGGTGTCTTCAGTGGGACTTGGAATAGACCTCATCCCACTCCCAAACCTGAATATAAAGGAGTCCTGAACTGGAAAATGGCATTTACTGAAAGGCTGAGAAATCAACCTGGTTCCATTTCTGCTTACAAAAACCCCAATGACAATGAAAAATAATAGCTAATGTGCAATCTCATTTTCAAGCACAAATCTTTCATGTTAAAAAAAAAGAAAGAAACCAAGTCAATACTTTCAGCATCTCATCATCTTTAAAGTGGATGATTAAGTTACCACGGGAAAAAGGAGAAGGCAACTGAATACACAGCTTTCCTAAATTGCATAACATGATGACCCCAAATAAAAACAATATCCTAATTACTTCTTTCATGTATCAATAAACATAAACATTGTTTTAAAGCTTACCGGTACTCCGAGTTTATCCAAGTTATCCAGGAAATATTTTACAGATTCACCCTAAAAATAAGAAAATAAACAGTTATGAGGGCTTAGAAATGGCAGGTCTTGGTACAACAGTTTATGCTATACTGTCTGCGTGTTAGTCCAAACACGCTTTGTTTAGTCACCAAGTCAGACTGGACAAATGTTATAAAAGTTGACTCTTTCAAAGTACTAATCTGCAAAAGCTAATTTCAAAAATGCTTTGCCTAAGAGATACCCCCAATGACCATCTGCTTTGGTGGGATTAGATGCATGCTTTCTGACAGAACTATACATTCAAAAGAGTTATAATTAAGAACTAAAAACTACTTTTGAAGATAAGCATAAATCTACAAGTAAAATTTGAGATCCTTTTTGTGTGCATTTTCTACCTTCAGTAAGAAGAGATGCGGCAGGACCAGCATATGACATTTCCCAAGAACACACATGTGTGGAGCCATGGGTGCTCCAGGAGGCTCTGGGTGCTTCCACAGAGGACTCGCATCTCGGATGGGGTCTCCTGAATGGCCTACTGAGTCGGATTCCACTAGACGACCTCACACAGCTAAATGTATGCACAGTCCTAAAGTGGCAGAACCCAGAAGAGAGGAAGGTTCTTTGGGAGGGGCTGCTGCTCCCCTCAATTCCACACCCCACTGGCTCCCACTGCAGCCTCACCAGGAGCTGCTTCAGCTGCTCCCAAAGGCAATGCCTCTGTAATGCACAGAAGAAGCTCTTGGGGATCTCGTAGAACACAGGTTCTCGTTTAGTAGGTCTGGGGTGAGGCGCGAGTTTTGGCAATGTGGAGGACATCCAATACTACGTACGTTCTGCATCACATACCTCAAGGCAGCAATTCTCAGACTTTGGCTACGTGGTAAGACTTTGTCTCAGACAAAAATGAAAGCAAACACAAAACAAAGAAACTTTAATAAATATCAATTTTAAAGTACTAATAATGGGCTGAAGGTATAGCTCCGTGATAGAGTGCTAGTCTGGCATGGACAAGGCCCTGGGTTCAGTTCCCAGTTCTGCAATAAATAAATAAATAGCCAATAATAAGCCCTATAGGCCAATGCATTTTTGGTATGACTTAACCAAAGAGAGCAAGACTTAACTGCTTCTGTACTTGACCTGCGCTGTTATGGTAGTCTGACTGAAATGAAAACTGCTACTGCTAGCATTACAAGAAAATGCATTGCAAAAGGGTGAGTATTTAACTAATGTTTTCAGATCATTGTAAACAATCTTCTTACTACATCAAAATTTGGTAAGAGCTAGCTTTTTTTTTTTTTTTTTTTTTTTTTGTCTTTTTGAGGCGAGGTCTTCCTGTAGCCCCAGCTGGCCTGGGACTCACTATGTAGACTAGGCTGGCCTCAACCTCACAGAGATCTACCTGCTTCTGCCTCTCGAGTGCTGGGATTAAAGGTGTGCACTACCATGCTTGCTAGTGCTACTTTCTTCAAGGTTCGATCATCCTGGAATTGGAAAGCCTTCCAATCAACTTTTCATATTGTTACATTAAAGCTGGTGTGTCCTGCACTTCTTTGAATGGGTCTTTGCCTGTCCACAATTTTGTAACGCTAGACACTAGTTACTTGGAACACAGTAGATCACTAAGTTATACAGATTTTCCAAATGTTGGCATGTTTTATCATATAGTATTTTAAAAATTGTATTTGCCAATAGTTAATCTTACAAGTCTGTGGGAAGCTGCTAAACGCAGAATGGCAAACAGACACGGGGTTTCCTATACTCTAATTTTCAACTGAAAGCTTTTCTGACTGGCAACAAAACTCATCTGATTTTCCTTGAAATAACAGACAAGCCTCATTTATGTTTGTTTTTTAATATTTTTTAACTTATTTTATTTTGTGTATGAGTGTTTTATCTGCACATATGTAAGTGCACCATGTGCATGCAATGCTCGTAGAGGCTGGAAGATGACAACAGATCCTCTGGAACCGAGTAAAGGACAGTTGTTGGCCACCACGTGGGTGCTGGGAACTGAACCTGGATCCTCTCTGCAAGAGCAGCCAGTGCTCTTAACCACTGAGCTCTCTCTCCAGCCTCCTTATTTATTTTCTTAAAAAGACCTGCCAAATGCTCAAGTCTGAAAGCTAGTCATCTTTTAAGATAAAATTGGCATGCCATGAAGAATGTGGCTGGTGCAGCCTACAATGTGTCTGGTCAGCCTTCAGTTTCTCCAACTGTCTAGTTTATGTTTCAGCATGTATTTACCAGGAAGATGGTACTCAAAATCTAACACAGCTGTTCTACTGTTCAATCTAGGACAGTCTTAAGTGAACTAGTCATGGCTTTTGTGTGTTTCTGGCCACAAGCATGATGGTGAGGAAAACAATCAGTACGGACTAAGGCAAACACACTGGTCTCTTGCAAAGGCCCTGGCAGCATGGTCCTCTGGTGGGTGACAGCTTCATCCACTGCTGTTTGGTATGACTAGTACAAGTGTCAACTTTGTAAAATCTTAAATCATACCAAGTGTCACCTCAACTCTCTGACTCCAAGACTCCCTTAGAAAGGACTTTTAGTAACCCCAGCAATCTGGGGACCACGCTGTAAAAATTGTGTCTTAATGCGTGTGGAACCGAAAAGAGAAATGTGGGTGTGTACAGAGGGCTGGGTGGGGGTGGCATTCCCTCAGGGTTACAAGCAGTAGTGATGCACACTTTTTTCCCCCTAGATCTGCAATGTTTGCAGCATCTAATGATTTTTCAGAAACGGCGAAAGAAAACATTTTTAATGAATTTGGAGTAAGTAACAAATTACTTGACCAAACTTGCACGATTTAAGATCAAGTTCATGAGTGAAATGAACACTTCATTTTAAGGAAAAAAAGGCACCACTTTCATTTTTTGACAGGGTGTTTTAACAGTACAGCCAACGGATCTGGGCCTCATCGTTAAAAGTAATAAAATCATTCTTCATTTACAGGTTGTTTGCACAACTCAAAAAAAAGTAAAGTGTTTCAGAGAGAAATAAACAATAGCCATTAACTCCATCACCTGGAGAAAACCAGTTAACACTGGAGGATATTTCTGATAATTTTTTTGTATATTCATCATAGTTGAAATAAATTTGTACCCTGATTTTTCCACTTTATTTACAGATAACTATAAATAAATTTGAATGTTTATTGACTGAGAATGCTCAGCTGGTAGAGTGCTTGCCTGGCATGTTACAAGGCCCTGGTCAATTCCCAGCACTGAATAAACAAGTATAGTGGCTTATGCCCATAATCCAGCACTTGTAGGTGGATTAGAAGTTCCAAATCATCTTCAACTAAGTCAGTTTGAGGCCTACTTATGCTACATGAGACCCTGTCTCAAAAACAAAAAAATTTGCAGTGCGTGGTGGTGTACGCCTTTAATCCCAGCACTCAGGAGGCAGAGGCAGATCTCTGTGAGTTCAAGGCCAGCCTGGTCTACATAGCAAGTTCCAGGTCAGCTGGGGCTACAGAGAGAAACCCTGTCTCAAAAAGACAAAACAAAAACAAAAAAATTAATGGCTATAATTTAAGTATGTATACACGAAAAAATTAAGTAAGTCCATCAATTTAATGCTTAATGTTAGAGTTGGTCCGCCCCGCCCCCCTCAGGATTTCTACAGACTGGGTCTCACTCTGTAATCCCAGAAAACTTCAAACTGGCTCCTGCCTCAATTCCCAAGTACTAGAATTATAGAGATGAGCCACCCATGTTTGAATCACTTCTATTTTGGGTTTTTGAGATAGGGGTTCACTATGTAGCCCTGGGTAGCCTATAACTCACAGAGAACGGCTTACCTCTGCCTTCCGAGTGCTGGGATTAAAGGTAGTGGCCACTATACTTAAGACTTTTCTAAAAAAAAAAATTTACTGGGCCAGCAAGATGGCTCGGTGGGTAAAGGTACTGCCACCAAACCTGCAACCTGAGTTTGACACTTGGAACCCATATGGTGGAGAGAACCGACCCCTCCAAGTTGTCCTCTGACCCCCACCAAACTCAGGCTCTGTAGATTAAAAGCATTTACATACTAGTTTAGCTTCCCCTTTTCAAACCAGGTAGCATCCATCTCCTGAGCTATCTGTGCTATATTTTTTCTGTGTTTAGAATCAATCCCTCTACACTCCTCTCAGAAAACACACGGCACAGTAACTAAGTACCATGGCAGATGAGGGAGCTGAAGTGCTTGAATTATGTGCTTCAAGACCCAATCTACCTGAAGGCACCTCTCAGTTTTAAGAATTCCATATTTGAACTGAACATAAACGGGAAACTGAGCATAAACACAGGGCAGATAGCTTGCAATTGTCATTATTTACTGTTGCCCTCGCCATCTCTAAATACACAGTAGGAAAATGTTGAGGTTATTGTGAAGCTGATACCTCAGAGTAAAGGGAAGGGATGGTCACTGGCTCCTGACAGGAAGGAGCCAAGCACACCCAACACATAATACATGCACTATAAATAAATGGGAAAGTATATGTGTCTATGTGACTGTATGTACAAGTGTGTGCAGGTGTTTATACCTGGGTACATGTGCAGAAGTCAGAAGAAGGTACTGGGTTTCATCCTCTATCACTCCACCTCTACGTTTTTTTAAAAATTAGTTATTTTTATTTTATGTGTATGAGTGTTATGCCTGCATGTGTCCAAGTACACCCATATCGTGCAATGCCTGTAGAGGACAGAAGAGGGAGTCAGATTCCCTAGAACTGGAGTTACGGATAGTTGTTAGCTGCTATGTGAGTTCTGGGATTCAAACCCTGGTCTTCTGCAAGAACAGCCAGTGCTCTTAACTGAGCCAATCCTCCAGCTCCCACCTCTAACTTTTTAAGGCAGGGTCTTTCTCTGAACCTGGGGTTCAAGTTTTCTAGGCTAGGGTGGAAGCTAGCAAACCTCAGTAATCCTCTTTCTGCTCCACTCGGAGCTGGGATTTCAGGCATGCACAGGATACCTGGCTTGTTACGTGAGTGCTACAATCTGAACTCTGGTCTCATAATTGAGCAACGAGTGCTCCTAACTGCTGAGTCA